CAGCTGAAGCACTCAGTGATTGCATAAAAAAAATTCTACAAACTTTGTAATTAATCCTGTTAAAGTGCGTTTCACCTGCGCCGCAACTGAACTCCACATTACTGAAGTCAATGGTTTCGTTCACGTGCCGCATCTGGCTTTAGTAAAATCCGCTCTATTGTTGCTCCTTCTGCAACCGATTGCTTTTGTTAAAATAAATATTAAATTGCCTTTGTTCTTGCTGTTGCCTTTATTCACATTGTTGCTCTTTCTTAGTTTCCCCACACTTTTGTGACACCCATCCATGCGCACAGAAGTATGCGAATTATAGACTTTCTGGGCTTATTTTCGCTTGAATAGTCACTAAGCCTAGCAAATGCTGGAGAGCTCAAGGTTGAAGTGTGTGCACTTAACGGGTGTTCTCTATGTACTAACTACTTAAAAAGGTGGGAAGCTGTAGAAATTCGTGCGAAACCGCGAAAGGGTAAATAGAGAAAATTAGTGCATTAAGCACCGGAATAGGAGGACTTGTTCTAAAGCGAAATAATAAGGCGGATGCAGGGTTGAATTGGAAAAGAGTTCGGCGACCCACAAGAAGAATGGATTCGTGCATACATACATAAGTAAATAGTATTTAAGAAAGAAAATATTACTTCATCTAGCGCCAAGTCAAAGCTAACGATGCAAGCGTCAGGTGTATTTTGTCAGAGGTTTGTTGATTGCAGAATTACATGTTTGTGCTCGGATTGCCATGCTTGTGATGAGAGTGAGGGTCGCGCCAGAAAATTCTCAGCGCTATAAAATTATGTGCCACAGCCACAGTATGACCTATCGCTTTCTAGGGGATGTGCATTTTAATCAAACTCGCGGGCCGATTCTGGCTAAGCTAGTTGCAGGTGTTTTGTAAGACAATTAAACGATAGTAGGCAAATTAGTTTGAAAGATTTTGTTTATTCTGGCATGAAAGTTTGACAAAAACAAAGCTCCCATGTCAACTTTCATGGTGAAAAGCTCTTTTGATAGAAAGCACTTGACCATTTTCCAAATGGAGGTGTATATCACTTGGCTCGCGCTGCTCTAACAGTTGCAATGGCCAAGTGAGAAAAGCGCTGGCGTGCCATTCGAGAGATCCGAAGTTCGAATTCTCGGCGGCGAGTTTTGTTTTTATTTATTTATTTTTTTTTAATTAATGTAACTTTCTTTAATTTTAAGATTATACATTTTGTTAAAAAAGTAAAATATATATATTTTTTTCAACTTAATGAATTTGTGGCCTTATTTAATGAATTTTTCTCATTTTTTTTTTACCTTATTCTTTTAAAAAGATAAATATGTACATACATATCTATATTTTAAAATTTTTCTTAATTTTAAGGAACTTTATTTTTTTAATTTATATTTTCTTTTAATATTTAGCTTTAAGTGCTTAAAAAGACATTTTTTTTAAATTTCAAAATTACTTTATTTACTTTTTCTTTTTCTAACTAAATTTTTAATTTAATTTTCGCTTAATTTTAGTTTTTATTGTTTTATAAAGATATATATTTTTTTTTATAACAAAATATAAAAAGTAATTTTTTATTTACTGTTATTTTTAGAAGACTTATTGCTACAATATAGGCAGAATAATGCTGAGACCTCTTCGTTAGCAGATCTTTCAAAAGACAGAAAAGAGCTTACAAGATAGTCTCCATAATTGACAATTGTGTCAAAAGTGGCCTCTTATAAGCACCGATTTAGATCTAGGGCCATAAAAATTACTTTTAAGGGGTATTAACGAAAATATAGTCAAAAGAAAAAAGGTCTAAGGTCGTTCCATTATAAGATTCGTTGATGAAAATTACATATATGTACATATTTTAATCCGACCACTTCTGTCGCAACAATATACTTATAGGGGAGAGGTAAAAGTAAAAAATAATATTTCGACCGTATTACGATCTGACCATGACGTGACCCAAATAATTCAAGAAGTATTTTTAATTTGCACATCTAACGTACCTTTGCTGCTTTAAAAAGCACTTCGGGTGGGTACGACTATAAGAACTGAGGCCCCTTGCTTAAGTGCCAGCACGCACCGCCTTTTATTCTTTCGCTTCTAGATTACTTTTATGCCTAACAAAAAGTTAGTGGCAGGTACCTCGGTTTCGGTTTCGGTTTTGCTATTTTTTTTTTTTGAATTTTTTTTATTAACTCTTCCTCAATACAAAGAAAGGGAAATGAACTCATAGTGATAAGATGTCTCACTCGTGCCTTTTATTTTTAACTTTTAATGCACTTGTTCCACCTTTTTTTTTTTTGCTTCCTTACTTGTCCATCAAATGCCAATATACTCGACTCGTAGCTGTCTACCACGTGCCACTTGCCAACACGTTCCAACAGCATACAACACCACAATGTTTACAAATGCGTAAGCTTCTTTCTTTTTTATCGTTGTTAGACACCATGTATGTATGTATGTATGTAAATTTGTACAATTTTCGCATATATTAACTTGTCTATCTATTCAGCAGCGTTGCTTGCGAAAAGCATCTCAATTTAGGGCACGCGCGTAATTTCCTTGAAGAAGAATTTGTGTGGCGGGTAACCAATTTGATTTGGTTTTTGGGGTTGGAATTCGCGCCGGCAAAAGCGTATCGTTACTTTTTAGTAACAATGAGGCAGCACGCATGTATGTATTTACAAACCCATGCAAATCTAGTAAGTAAACATGTGTTGCCTAGATGTTCCACACTTACGTTACTTGGGGGCTCTTGTTTTTAGGGGCGTATGAATAGAGCAGCAAATTGATAATGTAATTTGCCTATTATAAGTGGTGAGCGGTGCGCGCTATGCGTACATGTGTGAATAGCTGTGGATTTTTGTAGGCGAATGTGGTGCGTATGCTGCTTAATGGACTTTAAATTTACTCGAAATGGAAGCTGCTTCGTAGCACATTTGTATCTTTTTAGGCACGCATGTAGGAGCTTAATTTAAATAGCATTTTCTATGATAATGTGGTTAATTTGCGTGGAATTCAAAGTGCGAATTTGGCAACATTTACGGAATTTAAATAGACTGTGTTTGCATGAGCTGCAGGAAATGTGAGTGAAGTAGATTATTTGCATTGGAGAAGACTTAATGCGAATGTAGTGCTAATAATTGTGTGTTTGTGTTAACAAACAAGAATTTTAAATTTGAGTCATTTACTAGCTATTAGTTTTTAGCTTTAGAAAATAATAAATGGAGTTATCAGGGCAGCCGAAGGCAAATCAACAATTTTTAGAATTTTTGTCTGTCTGTATGTTTGTACACGCTTCACTCGAAAACTGATGCATGGAATTGAATGCAGTTTTCATCGGTGTATTGCTGGAGGTCTAACTTAAGATATAGAAAATCCAAAAAAATACCAGTGTTGCCACCTGTAGGAAAATTGTAGTTTAAGTATATTGATAAGATGAAGTAAAAATTGAAATATGGCTGCCAGAAGAAAGACGTTTGAAAAGACTTACAGCCGAAAATATATTTGTGGAAGGTTGCCACCTGTTGAAAATTTTTAATTAAATTTAATTGACAAGGTAAATTGAATATTGCAATATGGGTATCAAACTAAAGAGATTTAGGAAATTTTTCTGCCGAAAATATTTTTGAGGAGGCTTGCCACATGTTTGAAAAATTGTATTTGAAGAAAATGCGCGATATGTTGACTATAAATTAAATGCCCCTGAGAAAGTCTATACTTTACCGACTTTTTAAGTACCTCTGAAAATATATTAATTAACACCCATATTTTTGTGAAAATCTAACTTCATAAAGCTCTTTAAATCTATTTTCGTTTTTATGAATTAGACCAGAAGAGTTTTGGGAAGGAATAATTACACAAAAATACTTTTTAATACAGTGAAGCAAAATCTTATTCTAACAAATGTTCTTCAAATTTAATTTTATTTTTCGAAATAAAGTTTTGATGAAAAATGTTAAAACAATTATAAACAAAATTACAAAAAAAGCATTAAAGTTTAAATAGTCAAAGATTTTATGTTATATTCTCAATAATTTCGAAACAAACAATGACAAATCTTGCCTTAATCTTATTTTGTTAAAAAAACAAAATATACATATTTATAGAATTGCTTTACCAACAAATAGCATCACTTATATATGTACGCTTTATTTCACTTTTAATGAAAAAAAAAATTTATTAATGTGAAATAAAGAATTTAAAAAAAAAATATTAAATTTTTTTAATACTTTAGGTTATTTCACTTAATGTCGTGCCTAGTAATTTCATTTCCGTTATTTTCATTACTCAAAAATTTCGTTTCGTTTACATGCATATTTTATAATTGATTTTGTTTCATCTTTTAAATTAACTATAAGGTTATAAGAAATATATAGAATGAAACAACGTAAGGTAAAATACTTTAACTCATTTAATTTTTTTATATTGAAGTATTTTATGTCATTTCCTTTTTGGTTGTTGTTGTTTCCGACAGGGTGGGTGTATGATGTATTTTGGAACGAATTTCCGTCATCCCTTGTCAAATTTGGTTTGGAGACAAACCGGTTTCGGCGTTGTGCCATCTTCAGTGTCATTTTTCGTTCTGCCTGCAGAAATTTGACAACGGATAACATCATATTTTATGTCACCTTAACTCACCTTTTTATTTTACATTTATGATATTTTATTTCATTTTATTTGATTTCGCTCCTTTACTTTACTTATTTAATTTATTTTTATTTTATTTTATTTTGCTTTTTTTTCGTTTTATTTTTAAAGTTTAAAATAAATTTAATTAACTTTATTTTTATTTTGTTTTATTTTATTGCAAATATTTTTCTAAATTATAGTTCAATTATTTTTTTGCCCGTAAAAAAAAAGGAATAAAATATACGTGGCAACCCTTTTTAAAGCAATGAAAACTTGTGCGTAAATATGTATCACTTTCATTAAATTTTTAACTTTAAATTCAGATATCGTTACTGTAAACATAATAATCTCTATACTGACGAATATACATACATATGTATTTATAACTCACCTCAATACACGACTTTTTTAATTGTTTCCTCTTTTTGAAAATTTGTTGCTATATACTATAACAAGCGCTGCAAAGAAAACAGATAAAGTTCAACATTAATATGGAATCAAAGAATGCTTTAAAATTTGTACAAATTTAACAACAACATATACATACAAATAAACCACTAAAGAATTAAGCTTCTGTTAGCAAGTGGCATGCAAAGTGATTGTTAGCGAAACCAGTTAGCCTTGTAAATGTCACAGACAAGGAATTTAACTCTAAAATACTTTTAATTTTTATTTTTTATTTTATGCTACTTTGCAAGGAGTGTTGTTTGTTCGAAAGACATTAAAGCAGCTGCTTGCTGGCAGCTAGCGTCAGGAGTGCCGTATCTCAGAGGTGACTAAGCGGCAAATTGGTAGGTAAAAATAAAATTAAAACAAAATTGTAGTATCTTATTGTAGAAAATAAGCAACAACAAAAAAAAACGTAACAAGCACCAGTAACTATTAATCAAATTAGAAAAAAAAAACACGTATGACCAAAAGCAGCATGTAACTTTTATTTTAAAAAATTTCCGCAGCGAATTAAAATTAATTTAAACTTAGTAACTTTAATATAATACTTTTATTTTGTTTGTCTATTTTCGTGTACCACTCATCCGCCTTTAATGACTGATAACATGCGGTATATGCTTGTTAATTAATTAGTGAGAGTCCATAGTTATTGGCGATCAGCCATACTTGCTGTGGGTGCAGAAGCGATTTTCTATTTTTTTTTTTTTCTTCCTACTGCAAGTAAACACCAAAAAACGCTTTAACTTCTTCTAGAGCCAGCAAAACGCTCGGAGTTTGTTAGCAGGAAATGCAACACGCCCATCACACTACACATTCGTATTTGCATAAACTCATGTACGTCCTACCTTCTGTTGTTTACTAATTCAGCTGTCTGGTTAAAGTCCCTACCAACTCTATCAAAACTTGTCTTTTTCATGACTTTTATTTCCTCTTTTTGCTTACTTTTGGTATCAAGTGACCAATTTTAAAAATAACAATACCCAGTGGGTATCAGTGTCATTAAAATCAATTTTATATTTGTTTCTGTATAAATAGACAGGGGCATAAGCATACACTTATATACATACCTATGTATGTAACGATTACCTACATATATCTGTGCCTCTCATCGTCATTGGTTTAAATCATTTGCTGCTGGTGGCATTTAAAATATTTTACTAGTTAGTACCTACATACATACATATGAATGTATAAACAATGGCCCTGTGTTCGACTAATAGGTATTGATGTATATTCATCAAAGTAGCCGAGACAGTCGCCTCATTGTTAGTTGCCTTGTGGGCTTCAAAATGGAATTTTTTTTTTGTGCTGGTTTAACCCTTATGCCGATCTATATATCTGCATATATCGACACAAATGTCTTGCAATGAAAGTTCGAAAGAATTTTGCGTTATTCAGAGGAGAGTAAAAAACAAAAATTTTGACTTTCTGGAATTTGCAATTTTGATACTAAGATACTAATTTATTCTTTAGATTTGATGTCAACAAGACCTACATTTATACATATGAAAAAAATTTCATATTGTATTGATTTTCATTAACAAATTTTAATTTTTTTAAAACAAAATTAAATACAAAATTTCGTACATTTTTCCTGAAAAAATAAACGGTAAGTTTTGGCTCTGGTTTGAGTGATCTTTCAGATTTTTTTTTTTAACATTTTTCTGAATTTATTTTTTTACAGTTTCGGAATTTGTTTCGGCTCCCCGGAATTTTCGAGGTATTTCGGGTTTTTTTGGTTCAGCTTTCAAAATTTTGCATGTGCCTGAAATTGAATGCCGCGATTTTGTTTTTTTTTTATTTAATTTTACCTTTACTTTTTATTAAAAAAAAAAATTAAAAATACCGATTACATTATATGTGTTCCAAAAATATAAGCCAAATTTTGTTTTTATTGTTTATAAAAAAAATACAATATTTCTAAGTATTGCCGCAGAAATTTTAAATTTAATGGTAGTTTGTAAGATTTGAAAACTTATTGTTGGTTTCGATTCACTAAATAAATACATATTATACCAAAAAAGAGCAAATTACATATTTTGAACTATTCGAGCCCTAACCGCCAAAAAGAAGTCAGCGATATTTTTTTTTTAATTTTAGTTTTGATGCAAAAATACATCAATAAACATATCTGCATATCTGCATCAAAAAAAAAAAAATAAAAAAATAAATAAATACAAATGTTGCTTAAATCTTTTTGACGGTTAGGGCTCGCATTGTGTTATTAAATACCTCTCTTTTTGTAGTATGAGAGTTACACAGTTGCCCTATTTCACCAACGTATGTACATATATTTCCCAAATTGTTTGCGATATAAGAACAAAATATGGCGCTTATTAAGTATTCGCTTTTTAGTTCCAGAGTTAAAACTGAGCAAAAAATAATAATTCTAATTAATAGTAAAATTTTAGTAGTTCATTTCTCTACAAATGCAAGGGGTTCCTTTGTTTATTTTGGTACTACCATTTATTTTGAAAACTAAATAATATAAAACATAAAGCTGTTTTTTTTCAAACCATTAATTATGTAAACGAACCACCCTTATAATCAAATAAGCACTGCAAGTGCACGGGTCAAGCACTTACACCAACTAATGCATATTCACTTGCTGTCACATACATTTCTATGCATTTCTAATGCAAATTAAAATATACATACGTAGAGGCAACCATTTGCAATCACTACCGGCAAGTGCAAAGGTATCTGCTTACTTAATACATTGGAAACAACTCATAAGCCACTGGCGGTGAGTGTCACATTCACCCTGAAGTTTATTGAACTGTCACCGAAGAATAGGGCAGGCAACAATGCAGCACAAAATGCAAACAAATTTACATGCACTTTTTCTTTTTGTCTTTATGTACCCAAGTGAAGTCAATAACATAGAAGTATGTGCATTTGCAGCTATGTTGTAAAAAAAAAAAATTTTTGAAAAGCAACAAAAACACTTTGCACCGGAGAAAGAGCTCTGAAAAATGTGTTAGAAGTGTATACATTTTATAACCAATATTCTAAGTAGGTACTCGTATGTAACTTTACTACTTTTTTACACACTATTCCCTGTGCTGTTAGTTTGAACTGATGAAACTGATGAATAAAATACGATTTCATATAAATATTTAGCAGCTGCCTTAAAAAGAACATGCACTAAAACATTTATAGCAATTAAACAAGTAGATATGGAAATATTCCACTATGAAAACTGTTAAATATTCATATACGGTCGGTGGGAGAACGCACGCTAGTCATTCGATATATTCCATATACACATGTAAGTAATTATAAAACGACATCATTTTTCTTCTCACCTGAAGCAATTAAAAAGTGGATAAGATAAACCTATGTACATATGTGCATATGTATATGCAAGTAGTTATAAAAATAAATTCCATTTTTTTACTTGTTTAAAACCCAGATTTTAGTAGCATCTTGTGGAAAACAACTCCCAGTATCTTTCCACAACACGCTACTAAAATCTTTAGCTAAATTTAAATCGCTACTTACTCCACTTAGGCCCAGGTATGTATAACGAAAACTTACTACAAGCACACGACTATTTTTCTTTGCAAAGTTTCTACGATATTGATTGATTGATTGCGCCCCCAAATACTCTTTTTGTGTATGACACAAGTCCAGGCACACATTTTTTGACAAAGTTAAGTTTTCCAGAGTACGATCCTATTATAGCAATCCTTTAACCCAATAAATGAATGGTAAGCTTGTTGTAAAAACTAACGTTCTTTATGTTGTACGAGCATTCACTATCAACAGTGGCAGAGTAAACGATAGGTTTGGAAAAGGGCTTCAGATTAGCTTAGCTATCACTGTATCCATTTGAGGAGTTAATTCAGCTACCATCAACTTATTGCTTTAATATGTAATGCTATATGATACTTGAGAAGTGCATACGAAACAATTTCATAAAGTTATCCGCACATCTGTGCTGCCCTTTTTTATGCGGATTTATCAAGAATGTAATATGCATTTCGGCACTAGGTGTCAGTGGTCGCCTAAACCTAATCAAAATATGGGCAGAAAAGGAAAAACTGTGCCCTCCCCCCCCTAAATAAAACTCAGACGTAATCTTTCAAAAACGCCGAATCACGTCAACTTTTTTGGATGCCCTTTAGCAGAATCCGTTGTCTAAGCATTGTATTTTTTTATTTTACAGTGAAATTAGTCCAATCTCTACAGTAACTATAGTACCTACATATAGAACCCTTTCACATAGATGACGGATCCCAAGTTCTAAATACCAAATCAAAAGATAGATTTCTATAATGAATGAAAAGGAATAGGTCCATAGAATCCTTTGAGAAGCCATATGACAGATTCTACGCATTATTAAAAAAAAAAATGTTTATATTATTAGCTTGCTCAACTTGTCAAACATTCTAGGATTATTAAGGATTACTCCCGAAAAATTTACACTAAATATATTGACATTCGCGTACGCTGAATCTGGTCGTCAGACCTTCATCTTCAAGCAAAGAGCACAACCGAACAGAATCAATTATCAGCTATATTGATTGAATTTATCAACAAAGGAGGTTACTTGAACTTGCACTGATACTAGCAGATTAGAGAAAAGTGAACGCGGCTTCGCTTTTATGTATCTTTCAATCTAATGTAATCCGAGAAATACAAATATTTAAAGACAACTGTCCATGTAGTAATCCGGAATCGACACAAGCAATTAGCCATCATCTCTTTGAAAGTTCGCAAAGTCAGAAGAGAACACTCAAACCTCTGTGAAGAAATTGTCATACAACCATTTAGTTTAAACGAATTTGTTAGGCATCAGCCACTAACAGAATCATTTAAAAAATTGATATACAGTATCATTAGTAATCTTAAATATTTTAATGCACACATATATATCTCATACGCTTCAAGTTTTGTTAATTGAAAAATTAAATTTTTCATATTTCCCCGCCTGTATTAATTGGCAGACAGTATTTTTTTAACAATTTAACAAATCCAAAATTGTATATACATACATAAAAGC